TGGCGCAATCTCAGCTTACTGCAACCTCCACCTCCTGGGTTCAAGCAATTCTCCTGCCTCAGCCTCCCAAGTAGCTGGGACTACAGGCACACACCACCATGCCTGGCTAATTTTTGTATTTTCAGTAGAGACGGGGTTTCACCATGTTGGCCAGGCTACTCTCGAACTCCTGAGCTCATGTGATCCACCTGCCTTGGGCTCCCAAAGTGATGGGATTACAGATGTGAGGCACCGCTCCTGGCCAAGCCACCCTTGAGGGTACCAAGATGGCGCGTTCCAAGAAGATGAGACAGTGAGTACAAAGGCCCTGCGGTGGGAGCATGCCTGGTGTTTCTAAGAAACAGCAAGGACGTCAATATTGAGTGCATGGAGTGTGATAGAAGATGATGTCTGGGAGGATGCCTGAGACCAGGTTATATAAGGCCTTGTAGGCCCTTGTGAGGCCTTTTGTTTTACTCTGAGTGAGGTGGGAGCCATTGAAGGTATTAGGCAGAGAGGACATAATTTTACTCATGTCTTTTTTTTTTTGAGACAGGATCTCACTTTGTCACCCAGGCTGGAGTGCAGTGGCTCCATATCGGCTCACTGAAGCCTCAGCCTCCCTGGTTCAAGCGATCCTCCTGCCTCAACCCCCCAAGTAGAGCAGGATTACAGGCAGGTACCACCACACCTGGCTTACTTTTGTATTGTTAGTAGAGACGAGGTTTCGCCATGTTACCCAGACTGGTCTGGTGCCTGAGTTCAAGCAATTCACCCGCCTCTGCCTCCCAAAGTACTAGGATTACAAGGGTGAGCCCCACCGCCTGGCCTACTCATGTCTTAAATGATCATGATGGTGGCTGCATTAAGAATAGGCTGTTAGCTACTCGGAAGATTGAGGCAGGTGGATTGTTTGAGAACAGGAGTTCAACACTGCACTCCAGCCTGGGAAAGTGAGTGAGAACCGATCTCTAAAATTAAAAATTTAAATTAAAAAAACTTAGGCTGTTAAAATAATTTGGACATGGAAAACAGCCAGTTTCTCAGAAAGTTAAACAGAATGAATACATGACCCAGCAATTACACTCCTAGGTATATACCTGAGAATTAAAAGCTGGTATTCAAATACTTGTACGTGGATGTTCATAACAGCGTTATTCACAATCGCTAAAAGGTGGAAACAACCCAAATGTCCATAAATCGATGAGCAGATAAGTCCGGGCGCGGTGGCACGCCTGTAATCCCAGCACTTTAGGAGGCCGGGGCGGGCTGATCACCTGAGGTCAGAAGTTCAAGACCAGCATGGCCAACATGGCAAAACCATGTTAGTCTCTACTAAAAATACAAAATTAGCCAGGCGTGGAGGTGCATGCCTGTAATCCCAGCTACTCAGGAGGCTGAGGCAGGAGAATTGCTTGAATCCGGGACGTGGAGGTTGCGGTGAGCCAAGATCGTGCTACTGCACTCCAGCCTGGGTGACAGAGCAAGACTCCATCTCAAAAACAAAAGAAAAAGAGAAAATAAATAAAGTGCTGGTAGATGCTACAACATGGATAAAACCTTGAAAACATGATGCTAAGTGAAAGAAGCCAAACACAAAAGGTCACATAGTGTATGATTCCATTTATATGAAGTGTCCAGAAGAGGCAAGTCCATAGAGACA